ACACACACACACACACACACACGCATGCACATTTTCGGTTAGACGACCAGGGATTGGCCAGTGTAGTGTTGATTGCTTCAATAAATCACCCAACCAAATTCTCTCACAGCTAATGCAAATGTAATTTTATTGTTGTGTAAAGGAGGGGAGGAGGGAGGGAGAAAGGTGGGAATGATATGCTGCCTCTCACCAGGGGAAAAGAGGGAAAACGGGGACAGACTTTCCTCCAGGCTAAATTACAATGTGTAATTATTTGTGTGTTTGTTCTCCATGTGAGGGAGTGAGAGTGAACCCGTACCATGATGGATGACGTTATTTAGTGAGGTTTCTCGGGCCCTCTGGCACAGGAAGAGCTCAATTCTCACACAGGAAGTGCCTTTGTAGTCATTTTGTGACCCCCCTCTTGCCTTCAAGGTAACTGGTGAATGAGGTAGATGGAGATGATTTTGATGGATTTGTTCCCCCACCCAACACACCTTCATCAGAGATGTGATGCGATACCATCTCTGTGAAATTTTAATTAATTTCCCAAGCTTTGAGATGGAGTGGATCCAGGGTTCGGGGTCAAGAGGCAAGGGACCTCAGAGCAGTTTTTAATCAGGGATCCTATGAAAGTTGCATTGGCAGCCACATCAGCTTGGCATTGAGGAGGGGATTGTAAACCGCTGTTTGATGGTGCCTCTTTTGGAAGTGACTACAACAGTGCTCCCAATTAAAGGACCATTTTGATCAGACACTAACTGTTGGGGTGGCTTGCTGCCTTCTTTTCATCCCTAATATTGATCCTTGTTGACTGCTGAATATACAAAGTGAGGATTAATGATCACAAACTGTAGTTCTTAAAAAATGATAGAGAGACGGCCATTAGGGGTCTGCTTCTATGCAATTGCTACGTTTGCATTATTGGTTAATGTCAAAATTGAAAAAAAATCCATTGTCTTACTGAAACAAGCAACAACCTTTATGTATCTACAATTTATAAACATATAAATACTTATAAATATGAACAGCGTGAACAATAAAGCTTTTTTCCAATGAAGTCTCCAGATGCTGAGAACTGATTTTTGTGCAATTTTACTTTAATATTACAGGTTATAATATTAAATTTCAATTTGATCACTTGACTCTTCTTTGCTGTGTTTGAAATTAGAAACACTACTTGACATTCTGCACATGAAAATAATTTTATAACTGATACATTGTGTGGAATGATAATTAGTTAGAAAATGGCATATCTGAGTGGGAGATTTTCCTCATTATGAATGTTTAACTAACACATTTTGATGATTTTTAAATAGGTTAGAGATTTTAAGGCAGATTTCAAGACGTGCTTTCTAATGTTTTTCATATATCTTCTGCGAAGGGGATTTTATCTTTCATAGTTCACGGTTCCTACTTTATGTTAAGAAACATTCTCTCCCTCTTTTCTTACCTTTTTAGTAGTTATTCCACCCTGTCTTCTACACTTTCCATCCCTCCTGACATATTTATGACCAGAGTACTGTTTCCTTGATGCACTCCTAGAATCCCCTTTCCTCGATACATGTGATTAATCAGCAATTCATTCGGACAAGAGATAGGAGTTTCACTGGTGCTCGCTGCCATCCATCTAGAGTTTTGAGAAATTATCTCATTGGATACCGGATGGTGCTTGTTGTGCGGAGGCCCCATAAATCTTCTCAGTAGCTGTGTTTGTGTCCTGTAGATCAGCCATTATTGTCCAGCCTTTCTGTCAGCCCATCCATCCTTCTGCCATTTATCAGAGATGCATCCTGTAAGTGGAGTGGAAAGCAGAGCGAAGGGACAGTGTTGTCATGTGGAGAAACGCTACTCCTGTTCTGGTCAAAGGCCGGAGACACAGAACAAAACGGAAAAGAAAATCATTTTGTTTGGTTTATTTAGAAGTAAACAAATTTCCTGTGATGTTTGCCAAAATCATTGTGTTTAGATTTAAAATTAATTTTTTATATTTTTGATAAAGCTTTTATGGTTCTTTGTCATTCTTGTTGGGCATTTTGGTGTCCCATAATGTTATGATTTTACCAAATTACAAGGATATAATAGGCAAGTTGGTCAAAACAGCAGTTTTTTTGTTTTATAAAGCCATAGAATAGTCCTAGTTTATTATTTCTGGTTTGTGAGACAACAAAACCACTTTTTTATAACCTTAGCCACATGTTAAACAGATACACACTCTTTTGGACAACCTTCTAATTTGCCTTTTTTCCCCCCTCAAGTTGTAAAGCTGTAACATGTTGAATTTTCAGTTGCAATGATGGTCTCTGAGTAACATAATTATGATGCTGTAAAACACTTGCGCGACAGTTTTATATCATGTCAGTGTTTCTGAACGAATGATTTGCAGATCTCAGCCATGCTGTTAAATGTTTCCCTTTGCTGGAAAGCTACAGAATATCAACTGGTTGTTTGGTCCAATCTAAAATACTCTCCCAAGAATCTGAGAGGACGTCAACATTGATTTAAGCACTTTTGTTCTGGCTGCTACTAGCCCAGTCACAATAAAAAAAATAGCTGGACGATAATTGTCTCAGAAGTTGCTTGTAAACCATTTAAACCCCACACTCCTGCTTACGAAGCAATTTATGAAATTTACATACGTAAAAATAGTTAAAAACTTACCTAGACCAGAGATTGGGAAAACATACAGCAACAGCTGCTATAGCTGTAAAACCACTTCCCATCTCCTCTATGCAAGCC